GAGCTTGGGGTCAGTGCACATCCCACCATCCTGCACAACAGCTCTTGGCTGAATGCAGCCTGCCCAGTTGTTTTCCAGCCTAACAGGCTGTGATGTTGTCCATGCAGTGTTATTTTCTTGGAATGTTTGGCAAGGGAGAGCAGGGTGTTGGGAGGTCTGGCTGTGGCTCCACGCTTTTGTACTCACCTCTTTAGTGGTGTTCCCCCTCTGGGGACCTGTATCATCACACAAATCCTAATTAGAGTGCTTGGACAGCAGTCACGGTGATGATTGTTAATGGCACTGGTAACACCTTGTGCTGTTGCCTTTGTTTCTCCCTTGGCAGTGTCCTTGGCATCCCCAGGCCCTCCCTGCCTTCTCCAAATTGTTGTTTAAAACCCTTGATGTGTGAGAGTCTTTGTCTTTTCCTTGTGCCCCTTTTGTGAAGGCACATTTCTGCTCTTTAATCCTTCCAGCGAGCTTGCCAGCAGCCAAAAGGCAATCTGTGCTTCATCCCATCATTAGCTGCTGTCTGACAGTGATCAACGACCTGGGCAAATCTGCTCCTTCAGGGCGGGAGCTGCTCTTCCCATTCTCAGCGTTTTCTGCCTTCAAACAGTTATCCTTTCAAAAGGAAGTTAAGGAGGAGGGAGGGAGGGAAAGGAGGCCCTGCCCTGTGTTGGATTGGGAAGAGATTTCCTCCTCTCACCTCATGGTGGGAGGTCACCCCTTTCTGCCTCCTGAGTGTCCCAAACAACATCCATTCCCAGGTTGGAGAGTCCCAGCTGTTGCATTGATGGGGACCGAGTCATCTGCCAGTGTTGTGCCTCTTACCCATCCCCCTGGCAGAATTCCAATGTTTGTGGCCAAACATTGGGTTTATATTTGGCCTTTTACTGCTTTTTTGCTGTGCTGGGGGTGAAAAGGCTGAGTGTGGTGGGAGGACCGTGTTGAGGAGCCCCAGTGTCTCAGCTGTGGATGAGCAGCTTGTGTTCTGCAGTGTCTCTTCTGAACTGCACCAGGTGGCCAAGCCCAGCTCCTCCAGCCTGTCCTGGTGATCTGCTGACTTGGGACAACTGGAATCTTCTTTCCTGGTATTGACACCTGAGCAGCAGGCGCTTGCTGAGGTGATCCAGGCCCGGGCGTGTTGCCTGTGTGTCAGCAGAGGACAATCTTCCTACCCCAGGGCTGGGAAGGCAGCAGGTTGTGCCACAGGGATGGTTTTGGAGCCCATTTACATGGGCAAGGTGGGATCTACCTTCTCCTGCTTTTCCCCAGTCTGAGGACTGCTGGGATCATTCCTGGAACTCCCAAAGCTCCCTGGGTGGCAGATGGATGAGGCCTCTTTGGGGACTGATGGATTAGTAAGTGCTGTGCCCAAAGGTGACCTTCTTTAGGAGGAGCCCTGAGCTCCTCACCTGACAAGGACAGGTTTGTAGCAGCAGGAGCCCTTCTTGCTCCTGGAGCAAAGAGGCACCAGCAGGAATAGCTGATGGAACCCAAAGGAAAAGTGCTTTGGGAAGAGACCAATCCAGAAAGGAGGGAACTGCTTGCCTGTGATCATCTTGAAGCCTCTTCTAGGAACCTTTTTCTTGGGCAGTGCTGAAAATACGTGAATGAACCAAGATACTGTTCTTGGAATTTGGCTGTGAACTCACCTATCTGCTGCAACAGTGGATCAAAGATGTTGGATTTCTAAGAGGAAAGAAGACACTGCTTTCTGATGAAGTGAAAATTGGAGACCAGTTGAAAGCTGGAGAGCAGTTCACATTGCATAGATGTGAAGATGCCATCAGCATCTTCCAAAGCTTGGATCCTGCCTGCCTGCAAAATTGTTCCAAGCAGACCTCAGCCCCACTGCTTCCTTCTGCCAGTGGGTTTGGAGCTCTGGGTTTATGCTCAGGAAATGCACAGCCTGCAGAAGAAGAGGTAAGAGAGGGCTTGGACCCTCTGCAGTGTTTCCTCACTGAGTGTTTCCCCTTTGCTGGCCTGCCAGGGTGGTTCAGGTTCACCCTTTTAGCCAGTTTTTTTAATGGGCAGTTGATCTGTGGCCTCTGGAAGCTTTTTAAAGCGAAGCTTTAGTGTGCTTGAGTTTGTTCATTGACCTTTAGTTGATTCCTCTGCCCTGGGCGTTGTTCCTGAGTGCTTTTAAGCCTGAAATGATTGAACTGCAGGCAGAGGTGCTTCCCAGAGTAGCTCTGGCTGTGTGGGAAGGGCAGGTGGGTTTTACAAGTGGGCTGTGTTCCTATAAATAGCTGCCATCCTTGCCTGTTGTCCCTTTAGGAGGCAGCAAAGGCTCGGCAGAGTGTGATGCAGGGAAAAAAGCTCCCCGTCCCTTCCCCTTGTTTGCTCAGGTCCCAATCCGAGCAGTGATGTTAATTAGATAAGTCAGATACTCCGCAGAGCAGCCTGTTCAAGGACAAACAGATTTTAATTAAGGGCTGTGTGAGCTGGAAGGTCGTGGCACTGCCTTGTGCCTGAGCAGTTACTATGGGAACACCGGGAAAGCACCCAGGGAGTGTGAGTGTGTGTGAGTGGATCAGAGTGTGGGTTCCAGGGCACAACATTCACTTTGGGACGTGGCAAACGCGGCCCGAGCGAGATGCCACCCTCGGAGTGTGTAATTGGGTTTTGGCGCTGTGGGAATGGGAACCTTCACTTCAAGCTGTTTAAAATCACACCAGAAGTTTGATCCAAGCTGCACAGCAACGCCAGGAATTAGGGAAATTGGTCCCCAGCTCAGATTTTGGACTGTTTACAGTTGGTGAACTCAGTTTCTCAAAGAGAACCTGGGTAAGGGAAAAGAGTTTTGTTTGTGCTGAAATTTGAACTGGAATCAGTTTGAAATTTTGCTTCTGTCTCTGCCATCTTCTAACTGGAATCCAGCGTTAATTCCTGTGTTAGCAGCTCGTTGCTGCATTTCAGGTCCTCCCAAGATTCATCTCCTCTAAGCTGCCTGAAGTTAATCCTGCTGATTTGAGTACAAGGTGTTCCTTGTCTTTCTTCAGCCCCAAGCCTCGTCAATACCTGATGATGGCAGTAAATGACTCTAGTGATCTACAAGCCATGGGTGTGCCTTGGGACTGATGGAAGTTTGGTGTGATCCCCAAGCTCATTCTTACTAATTTTTCCTGTGGTCTAGCAAGAGGATCAGCAGAGAGAAGTTAAGCATTTTTAGTATTAATATTTTTATTTCCTCTATCAAGCAGAAGTTGAGGCAGGGCCTGATGCTGCACTGGCACCACAAGCAGCTTTCTTGTGTAAATAAAATAACCACTCAAATGTGGGCCTTGCAGTGAGCTTGGAATCAAACATTTGTGTGGGAGTTTGAGGTGGGAGCTCACGGGAGCAGCTTCACAATCCCCTTGTCTCTTGTTCCTTGGTGGTTTGGGGGACAAATGAAGAGTGAGGCAGGAGAGGTCACAGGTGTGTTGGGAGGGAGAGGCTGAAACCATCTCTTTTGCTGATTTTTTTTTATTTGGACAGTCTTTATGGGCTGCCCTGCTCTGGAGGAGGCTGTGGGGCTGCCAAGCCTTGGGAGTTTGGAACCGTGTGGAGCCGACTCAGCAGGGAGATTGCCAAGCAAATGGGGTTGGATTTCAGGCAGTTTATGCTCAGAGAGGACCTGGCTTTGTTTCCTGGCAGCTGAAAAAGCACCATTCTGCCTGTTTGGAGGGAAAATGCGTTGGGATTGGTATTTCCTCCGTGCATCTCCCTGTGCCCCTTGCGGGAAGGGGAGGCAAGCGCTGGCTGTGGGTTTGGGCAGGAGATGTGGGAGCACAGACCTGGGGCAGGAGGAATTCTGCCCTGCAGATGGGGTACATGGGGCAGGTTGGGCTTGGCCTCCACACCTCAACCTTGGTGTACAAGTTGCAGGGCTGGGCCTTGGCTCCTGGGTGGCTTTGGGGGAAGCATCTCCAAGAAAGTGCCCCAGGAGGTGCCAGCTGGGCAAGTTGTTCTCTTGGTCTGGGTACCAAGAACTTCCTCCAAGTGCTCTTTGTCTGAGAACAGAGCAGGAACCACTCTGGGCCTTTATTATCCTTCATCAGGCTGTGGCTGTTCAGCCCCTGGACAAGAGAACTGGTTTTTTTTGTCAGCAGATGTCCACCTTTGACCTGGCGGTGTTGACTTTTAAAAATACACTGAGCAGAAATGAAAAAACCCAGAAGAGCAAAGAGAAGTGTCTGAATAGAGGAGCAGGAACAGGCTGTGTCCATCCTCCTCAGGAAGGGGCCGATTTTGCAGCAGGCAGGACATTTCCAGTGTAAGCTTGGGAGTCCCTTTGGAGAGCTTTGGATATGCTGGTCTAACAGGGACAGCTGTAATTCAGAGAGGGCTTGGTGGAGCTCTCAAAGGAGCGTGTTTCCTTTCTCTTGAAGCAGTATCACTGCTCACAAAGTGCTCCCCCTGGCAGCATGGTGTGTGCCATTGCCAAAGGTGTCAGCAGTACATGGGAGGAAAGCTGGCCTGAGGGCTAATGTGTGGAAAAAGTGACAGCAGGAGAGTTAATGAAAAGCAGACACCGAGTGCTGGGAGCTGCTCAGCCAAGAAATTCTGCACAGTCCAGGGTTTTCTCTGCTATCCATTAAAAATGTGTTACAATTTGGCTCTGTTACCCCAGGGAAGGAGGTGCAGGAAGGTGGGGAGTACCTGGGTACGTGGCACCCTCTGGAAGGAAAACAGATGTCGTGTTACTCTTGTGATGATTCCCTGTCTTGGAGCCAAGAGCCTTGAGTTTCTTGTCCAGATTTCTACTTGGAACCTTGGGCTGCCTTTACAGGCCACTCTTGCAGGTGTGGTCTGTAAATCATAGAATCACAGGATGGTTTGGTGGAAAAGGACCTTAAAGACTCTCTCATTCCCAAGGGCACCTTCCCTAGAAGGTGCAATCTGGATGCTCCTGTGTCTGGTGCCCAGGAGAAAATGGGTGTCCAACGAAGCAAACTTTGTCACCATCACAGGGCAGTGTGGGAGCACTGCAGTTAAACTCCTCTGGGAATGATGTCCCTGTTTTTTTGCAGAATGGAGGCATCCTGCCTGGAACTGGCCCTGGAAGGAGAGCGCTTGTGCAAGGCTGGGGACTTCAAAGCTGGGGCAGCCTTCTTCGAAGCAGCAGTGCAGGTGGGGACTGAGGACCTGAAGACTCTCAGTGCCATCTACAGCCAGCTGGGCAATGCCTATTTCTACCTAAAGGAGTATTCCAAGGCCCTGGAGTACCATAAACACGACCTGACCCTGGCCAGGTGAGTGAGTGACCCCTGCCTTCATCCTCATCAGGCACAACCTTGAGCCAGGGCAACTTCTGTGGGGTCTGAACCCAACAGCCTGAGGGGATCTGCCCAAAATACACACCCAAAAGCAGCCCTGAGGGTGATTGTCCTGTGGAGAACTTGGGGGCAACAAGAATGGGTCAGCTCCCTTCAGAGCAGGGAGGTGGAGGAAGGGATATGGATGTGAGGAGAGGGCTTGGAGCAAGAGCAGGGCAGTGCCAAGTTCTCCTGTGCCCAGGTGAGCACACCTGAAATCGTTAGAGGCAGCAAAACAGGGAACAAGGATCTGTCTTTCAGAGCTGTGGGACCTGTGTGAAGTCTCCAGCTGTGGGGTGGTGGTGTGCTGGGATCTCCTGGAATGTGGTGCAGGTACCACACAGCACTTGCTGCAGCTGGAATTCTGCTTCCAGCAGTTGGTGAATAAAAACCTGTGAGCTCTTGAACACCCTCACCTTGTAGGACCATCGGGGACCGCATTGGAGAGGCCAAGGCGAGTGGCAACCTTGGGAACACCCTGAAAATCCTTGGGCAGTTTGATGAAGCTGTGGTTTGCTGCCAGAGGCACTTGGACATTTCTCAGGAGCAGGGAGACAAGGTAATTGGTTCGTGGCATCCAAGAGGAAATGTTTCCTGGCTTTATAAACAATCTGCCTGCGAGTCAGTAAATGTGATCTGGTGGAGGTGGAGGGGAAAGCTCTCCCCTTCTGGCTGCCAGCACTGCTCTTGTGGTGCTGGCAGTAACAGCTGCCAGGAGGGTGAAGATGAGGAGAGGGAAATGTGGGCTCCTGGCTTTGACCATCCCTGCCCAGCAGTGGAAAGGCCCGTGCTGGGATGTAAAGTGTAATATCTTGCTGTTTCCTGTCCTTCCTCCTTTCAGGTGGGTGAAGCCAGAGCACTCTATAATATAGGAAATGTTTACCATGCCAAGGGAAAGCACTTATCGTGGAACATGGCCCAGGACCCAGGCTCCCTCCCTCAGGAAGTCAAGGAGACGCTGCAGAAAGCTTCAGAATATTATGAGTAAGTATCCAAGCTTGGCCAGCCCTTTCTCCTGCAGAGAACGGGGCCCCTGAGTGAGAATTTGCATGTTGAAATGAATTAGGAATATTCCCCTGAGATGCCAAGTAATGATGGCAAATTAATCTCAGGGAAGGTGAGGAAAGGACTACGAGCCTTCTACAAAATTTGAGCTAAAATTCCTCCTGGCATTGCCTTGGTAAAACTCACTGTGGTTGGAATTATGATCATGCACTGAAGTTCAGCAGTGTGTGTTGGGAAGCTGAACTGTTGGCTCCTGTAGCCCCTGCTGCTCTCTGCTGGCCTCCTGGAGGATGGATCCCTGTGTGCCTCCATCTCTGTCACCCAAGGGAAGAGTCACTTTGAAGTCCTGTTTGTCCTTCTCTTTATCTTGTTTGCAACATCCTTCCTTTTCCTAAATAGTTTCAGAGATCCCTGTGATGTCCCATGCAGGAAGGTTGTCACCAGGCTTTTGGGTTTGTGTTTTTCTCCTTGTTCTGCTTTTATGACGCAGGTTTTTTTAAGCAGGCTTTTTAAATGAAGAGAGAGACAAGAGCTTATATCCATCTCCTCATATCTGAGGATGTGATAGTGCCTATAAATAGCTCACCACTCTTTTTTCCAAGGAGTGGTGCATGTAGCACAGCCAGTGGGTAAATCTGTGAGTGCTCTGTGTGCTGTGTGTGTAAAAGGGGAAAAACAAGGGAAAGAAATGCTGGGAAGAGCCCAGAGAGGAGCTCTGCTGTGGGACTGTGGATCCTGCCCCTCTCTCCAGGTGTTTACCTGTCCTGCTCCAGGTGATCTCCTTCCTCCTGTGCCCCTGGTTCTGCCCTGTGCAGTGAAGAGACCATTTCTTATTTAATGTGGGATCTCTGTTTGAGCACTGGGGTGGTTCCTGCACCAGGAATTCTGAGCAGAGGGAGCAGCAGGGACTTGCAGCCCTGTCTTGGCACAAGCTCCCAGAGCTGCCCTGGCACGGGTCACCAGCCTCTCCTGCCCCCAGCACAGGTGGTTGGGAGGGAAATACCTTCTCCAGGTTGGCTCTCCTTCCTTTCTGTGCAGGTTTCCTGGCTGTGTCCCCTGCAGGGCACTGGCTGTGTCTCACTGGCCCTTCTGCTCTGGTGTCTTGCAGGAGGAACCTGTCCCTGGTGAAGGAGCTGGGGGACAGAGCTGCTCAGGGCCGAGCTTACGGCAACCTGGGCAACACCCAGTACTTACTTGGCAACTTCAGTGAAGCCATAGCCTTCCACAAGGAGGTAGGAGACCTTTGCCTGCCTTGCTGGCCTCAGGGGGGCTGTGGGAGCAGCTTTTCCTACTCACCACACCCCACCAAGCACAGGGAGATGTTTCCCCCAGCAGCTTTTTTTCTCCCTCCTGTGTGAACCCTGTTGTAGTAACTCACACTGAGCAAATCTTGCTCCAGTCCCCATCAGCACCTAATGAGCAGCTTGAGGGAAGGGTGCTGTTGGCTTGGAAACCAAAGGAGGTATCCAAGGGCAAATTGCAGCTGGGTCTAGCAAGGTTTTTTTTTTTTCTGCTCTTAATTTGTCTCAGTCTAGATTTTAATAAATGCAAGCCATGGATTTAATTAAGCTGCTGAAAGAGCTGTTGATCAAGAATAAATGCTGCTTGTAGAACATAACAACTTTCTGTAGAGCTTTACAGGAGGGTGAGGTGACACAGCCCCTGCCCCAATTCAGATGCAATTTAACTTCTGTTTCACTGAGTATCAGTTTCCTTGCAGTGGAACGTGCTCAGCCCCCTGGAAATTCAGCCCTGTCACAGCTCTGTCTGGGTTTTAAGTCCTGTGGGGACAGCATGGGGATGGAACTTTTCCAAAGGCCTTTCCTGATGCCGAATTGCAAAAGAGGGAGAGATTTCCTGCTGCATCCAGCCCTGACAGGCAGGGGCAGCAGGGCCTGGCTGGGTGGGAGCTTTGCAAAGCCCATTGCTTTGGGATGTTGATGTCCCAGAGGGGCTGGTGTGGGACAGAGAGCTGTCAGTGCCCCCTGTGCCCACTGCCCCATGTCTGCTGCAGCGCCTGGCCATTGCCAAGGAGTTTGGGGACAAGGCAGCTGAGCGCAGAGCCTACAGCAACCTGGGCAACGCTCACATCTTCCTCGGCAGGTTCGACATCGCTGCCGAGTACTACAAGTAAGTGCCGGGGAAATCTCGACCTGTTCCTCTTGCCCTGGGAGTCTTGGCCTGTTGCAGTGAATTCCTAAGCTCAGGGGGGAGTTGTGACAAGGGATCTGGAGGCCAGTGGCACGTGTGGTGCTCAGCAGTGGGGGGTGATGTGATACATCCACCTCACAGGCATCAGCACAGCGTGTGCCAAAGGGGGAACCTCCCTGCCAAAGAGGGGACTTCCCTGTCACCTTGCAGTGACCAGGTCTCTTCATTGCCACCTGTTCCCTGCAGGAAAACGCTCCAGCTCTCCAGGCAGCTCAAAGACCAAGCAGTAGAAGCCCAGGCTTGCTACAGCCTCGGAAACACGTGCACGCTGCTTCAGGACTACGAAAGAGCCATCGAGTACCACCTAAAGCACCTGGTGATAGCACAGGAGCTGGGGGACAGGTAAAGGAGTGCCTCAGGGAAGGGGGTCTGTGCTGGGTGCAGAGCACTGACCCTTCCCTGGCTTACTGTTTGCTGTTGCTGGGGTTAAACAGTGATGTGTGTTCGTGACAGTCATTAGAAATCTCTCAAAACCCAAGCCATGGTCCAGTCATCTGTCAGAAACATGACATGATTGACACCTTTATCATGTCATTCAAACTTGGAGGTTGTGCCCTTGATGCTGTGTCTGTGTGGGCTGAGATCTGTAAGAAGAGGTACTTCAAGAAAATGCATCGTGTTCAGGGCTTTGCCACGTGGCTACTGCTGTTACCCCAGAATGGCCTCTCTAAAGCTCCCTCAGGTCCACAAGCATTGTGTCTTCCTTAGAAACTGTGTGCTTAGGGCATAAATGTGTGCCACTTTCTCCTGTTGCTCTGGGTTAATGCTGGAAACTTCTGTGTAGAAACAAATGCTGTTCCACAGAGGATGTGGAGATGATGTATTTTGTTTCTCAGCCTCGTCCCTCCTTATTTGGAGGCTTGGCCTCTTACTTTTTAAAAAGAAAAAAAAATACATATTTTTTTATGAGGAGTTGGTTCCTTTTTGCTGGATACTCTGTGATCCTGAGCCTTCTTGCAGCTGAAGTGACTTTTCAGCGTTATGCTGAATTCTCTTGGAAGCTGGGTGTCCTCCACTAGATGGAGCAGGGACATCAGGATGGGAGAGCTGTGCCACCACCCGGGCAGTATCTGCTCAGAGAAAGTACAATCCCACCCAAGGGTGATTCATGCTGTGTGGGGGTGCAGGCCTGTGGGCTCCTGCGTTCCTGGGAACACACCCTGTGAGCAGAAGGTATTGAACAGGGTGACAAGAAAAACGTTGAGATGCTGATCAACCCGCCCAAACCTCTGAAAAGGGAGTTGCAGTCATGCTGAACCTCCCCCCGCGCCCCCAGGTGCTTTTTTTATCCCTTCTCCCCCCACATCTGCTCGCTTGCAGAGCTCAGCAGGCTCTGGGGAGCAGGAGGCTCTGCCTGCTCCTGCAAACAGCTGCTGGACCTCCAGGGACACCGGGGTGCCAGGCTGGGGCTCAGGGCTGCTCAGGGCAGGTTCCACACCCACCTGCTTTCCTTGGCTTCTGGAAACAATGAGCAGTGCCCTGGAGACCTTGTGGACACCGGTCAGTGTTCACTCGGCTTTGGGGCAGTCTCAGCTGTGCCCCCTGGGCAGTGCTGGCACTCAGCCTGCAACATTCCCTCCTTGCCATCTTCTCACCAGTTCAGCTCTGGGCTCGTGTTGAACCAAATGTTGTGTTCCCTCTCGTGCATCTCTGTTGAGGAGCCCTTGTGTGAGGTGGAAGCTGGACAGGAGCTCCGGCTTCTCCTCTTGGGCAGGTGCTCACCAGTGAAGCCAAACTGTCCTTGGGTCCTTGCTACACTGCTTAGTTCTGTGTCACTGTGGGCACAGACCTGCTCCTGAGGCTGCTGTTCGTCCCCAGCTCTTGCTGACCTCAGTGAGAGGAGTTTAAGATGTACAACACACTTCATTTTCCTTCGTAGAACCGTTGTGCAGATGAAAGCGTAGCGAGGAGCGTGGCTGGCAGCGCTCTCAGGGAGGCCCTGAAGGGGCTGCTGGGCTTTGCCCAGAGTTTCTGTGGCTGACAGTTTGCTGTTCTGCAGGGTGGGAGAAGGAAGAGCCTGCTGGAGTCTGGGAAATGCCTACGTCTCGCTGGGGAGCCACGAACAAGCTTTGCACTTTGCAAGGAAACATCTTGAAATCTCCCAAGAGGTAAGAGAGGCTGGTTCAGATCAGAGGGAACCAGTCCCCCTGCGGTGAGAGGAAGGTTATTTTACACCACTAAGTTCTATTAATGTAGTTCTTCTCCTACTGTGACTGCTCTGGAAAGCCCTTCTCCATGTGCTGTTTCAGTGGTGTCCTTAGGAACTGCAGAGCTTGGCAGGAAAACATTCTTTTGCTGGGAGGCTCCCAGTCTTCCTCTTAATTACAACAAATGTATTTATTAGCTGAGCTTTGCTCTTAACCAGTATTTTTGGCTGAGAAAGGACCTGGGCACCAGTTGTCTGCTCTGCTGGGCAAGGTGTTGTGCACCCAGGTGAAGGAGCTCTGACACCTCTTGGTGCATTTGCTGGCCAGTTAAAACACGTGGAGAACACGAGGGCAGCTCCTGAGTGCTCTGTGCTCTGCACTGCAGCACAGTGTGTGCCTGGGGAGCTGTTTCCCCTCAGTGGACCTGGCAGGTGGGAACTCCAGCAGTGTCCTAATGCAATCCACGCTGTCACCTGGCACACACAGCCTGCAGCCACCCTGTGCCACTGCCTGCTCACCCAGCTCGCTGCAACTTCCCCACTGCAAGAACACACCGTGGTTTAGGGTGGCTCAGAAGTGCAGAAAGCAAGAATTCCCATTGTTTGCTCCTTCCAGGGTGCTGAGGAAATTGGCCATGGCCTCTTTTAGTCTTCCCCAGATGAAGAAATTGCCCTCTCACAGCACTAATTGAAATCCCCATATGAGAGTGAGCTGGGTGTTCTCCTGCCTGTCTGTTAGGTTGGTGAAATCTCAGAGTAGGGCTGACACAGCAGCCTAATTACAGATTTAATTATACTTATCAGACACCCAGAAGAAATACTGTTCTTTTGGCCCTGTACATTTTAGGACAAATTAACTTTTCCAGCTCTGTTCTGCTTGGACTGTGGCAGTGTGGGCTGAGTCCTGGAGGCAGAACTGGCTCATCAGAGTGAAATGCAGATGAGGAGCAATGGGAGGACAAGCAGTGCTGGTCCTGGGGCTGTTGGGGGTGGAGGGGAAACCCACCAGAGTGGGTTCTCACTCCAGGGTGCTGGCTGTGACCACAGGCCATGTCAGGAGTCAGGAGTGGGTTCCTCATGGCAGGTGGCTGATAAAGTCCCCTCCACCATTAATTACAGAGCAGAGACTGTCCCTTTGAGGAGAACCTGCATTGGCTTTTAGCAGTGATTCTGTTAAAGCTGATGTTCTGGTTGGGAATGAGTGAGCTGCTTGTGCAGTTTGCCCAGGAGAAACCTTGTGAAATTAAACCTTTCCACACCAATGTTTGTAACTCACTTCCCCATCACTTTTTCCCTTTCCCCCCAACAAAAATCTAATGGTGACATTTGAATCCAGATGAAATCTGCTCGGGGAAGCTGCTGCAGGATGGTCAGGGGTTACTGACAAAATTCTCCTGAAACAGCTGGAATAAAGGACATGTGCCTAAAAACCTTGGAAGCTGCCCCAGCTCTCGGACACTGCTCTGGGATACCTTTGCCATGCCCAAGTGTGGCAGGAGGCTCCTGGGAAGCTGAGGGCAGAAAATAGGGCTCTGCTGTGGTGTGTTGTGTGGCAGGTCCTGCCCAGGATCATTGTCCTGCCAGTCTGTTCCTGGGTTGTTAATAGGGCTTTGGAGATGATCTGGAATGAGTGGAAGTCAGGGAAGCATTTAATAGAGCATCAAGGACTCTAAGACCTAACCAGGACATAGTAATTTCTCTGGAGATGATGTCAACAGCAAATCTCCTGTAATTGGCAGGGGGATTTATGGCTGATGATAAGCCCTTTGATCTGCCTCCCTTTACTGGCGCTTGGGGCTTTGTCATAAATAATGTGGGGATTTATGATTTTGTTCCAGGACGGCTCCCGCTGCCGTCTATCGCACGGGGCCACAAAAGAGCTGTTGCCAGGCATTTACCAGGGAATTGGGCCTCTCCAGGGGAACAGCCAAGGTCTTCCTCTGTCGCAGAGGCTGCTCCTGCTCTGAAGATGAGAGGCTGTTTCTGGGTGACCTCTCTGTGTTCCCTGGTGATGTGCAGCACCAGCATTTTGTTGTTCTGTTGAACTCTGAGGAGGGCCCAGTGTCACATCCCTGTTTTAAGCAGCAGGAGCCATTGGACAGAGCTCTTCCCAAACATGTACCATCAGCTTCCTTGGGCTCAGGCCAGAGAGAGGTGGAAATTTGGAAAAATGTGGACTTCCAAAAGACTTTTGGAGCCTTGTGTGTGGGTGGATCACTAGGAACAACTCAAAGTTGTATGGACCTGAGCCAGGAGAGAAGGGCTTTGGGAGCATCCGAGCCCTGGTGTGACACTGGCTGATGGCACTGTGGTGTCTGGTGCTCAGTAACCATGGAAATACTTGAGGAGGGGGGCTGAGATTTCCAGGGCTCTCTGCCAAGCCATGTGTGGCTGCAGGACGGACCAGACAAGCACATTTAACCGTGGCTCAGTTCTGTGGGCGAGCTGAGCCCTCTCTGATCTCCACAGGACCGTGTTTTGGGGTGCAGCACAGCACACACGGATCCCATCCCAAATTACCACCGAGGAATAGTTTCAGAGAGTTCCTTTGGGGCTGTGTGGTCTCTCAGGGTGTCTCCAAGCTCTCCTCTGGCTGGTTCTGCATCTGCTTTGAGATGGGACTGGCAAACCCCTTGCTGGGGGCTGTTTGCTTGGAGCACGTGCCTTTATCCAGCTGCCCTGTTGGTGTTCCCGCTGCAGATCGGGGACCGGAGCGGGGAGCTGACGGCACAGCTGAACATGGCCCAGCTCAGGTCAGCCCTTGGCCTGGGCCCTGGGGATGAGGACATGGGTGCAGCTAATCACTCTTCTGGCTATGAAGCACAAGGTGAGTTTTCTGGGCTTTTTTTTGGTGGCACTGGAAGGTCTCTGGGAAGATGTGGTGTGGGGAGGGGGAGGCGTTTGCAAGCGGGGAGGAAATAAGAGTGGCTTCAAAAGAAAGGAGGTTGTTGATGTGTTTGCTCTGTGCTTTCCATAACCTGCAAGGGCAGGGCACGGAAGGATCGCCCCAAAAAAGGGCACAGAATGAGTTAATGGAATTAATCTGCATTGGGAATAAAATTCCCTATGCCATGCAGCAAATTGGCTTTTGTGTCTTTTAAAGCTCTGCAGGGCCCTTTTAACTGATTTAACTGATACCACAGGCTTTCTGAAGTGACTGGCGGGGATTTTTGGCTGCTCTTGTTCTGATTAGCACCCAAAAAACAAGCCTAGGGTAGGGGCTGAAGGCAGGCTGGGAGCATCAGTCCGCTGGGTGACATCTCACCCTTGGAACACCTGCAGTGATGCTGAGCCTGGAGACAAGGAGTGGCAAGACGTGGTCACAGCAGACAGAACGGCTTTGCTCAGGGCACTGGACTCTGGGTCATTCTGCCTCTGTTGCTGTGTGCCCCCAGCTCCAGGGAATGTCCTGGAAGTGGCCACTGCAGGCCCTGGTGGGTGCCTGGCACGGGCAGTGCCAGCTGGCCGCTCTGTGCCGCGGGCAGACTCGTTAATTCACACAGCCCCAGCCGCGTCCCGGGAGGTGCTGGCTGATTAAATATGACCTTGTTAGCACAGACACGCTTTCCCAGGCGGAGCGTTCCCTTTCCTGGTGGTGGAACTGACGTGGAGAAGGTGATGCTTGGGCTGAGGCTCTGGGAGGGAAGGGCTGGCTGTGCGTGTTTGCTCTCGGTATCGATCTCAAAGGTGTCACCGGCCACGTCAGTGCCGAAGCTTTTCCTGGGAAATCAAACATGGTGAGGGAGCCAGCGTGTCCTGCCATGCCCCACTGGAGCTGAGCTGTTGCCTCAAAGAGGCTAGGGGTCACAACAGCTGCCCCAGCCTCCTCTTGCACGTCAGCTCATCCTTGTAACTCCTGGAAAACGCATTAGCTGGAGCCTTCCCCTCATTCCCAACATCTCCTTAGGGGCTTCCCTTTTGGCAAGTTCCTTTGTTGTGAAAGGGGAACGGGAAATGAACCTTGATGTTGGTCAGGGGGAAGTGTGGTGGAAATGAGCTGGTGGGGTGCCAGGTCCCTTGGGCTGGGAGTGGAGGGGTGCAGGAGGAGGGCAGTGCCAAGGACCGCGTGGGCAGGAGAGCTGAGGGTGCTGAGCCGTGCTTGGGTGGGGGTGTGAGCATGTGGTGTGGAGGAGCTGTGGTGGAAAGGGTCAAGCCAGGTTCATCTGGGAGAACCTCTGCAGCTCTGACCATATTGCACAGCCTTTTCTTAGCTGGAAAAGACAGAGCAAGGGGTTCTCTGCTCTCATAACACGTTCCCTGTTGTCTCTGGGCTTGGGTGTCACCTGCTGTGGGCTGGCCTGGTGTCCCAGGGTGAGGACAGTGCACTGTGGGGGTCAGGGAGGGTCTTGGGCTGAGCAGAGCCCTTCGTGGGGAGAGCTGAGCCTGGTGTGTGTCAGCATCCCCCGTGTGGGTGGTGACACAGCCCCACCACCCCCATCTCGCAGCGGGGGGCTCGGAGTGTGTGGCACCGAAGGCTTGGGATTTATCCTGGTCAGTCACTGGGCTTAACCCCGAGGGTGAGCCTCTGAACCTGTGGCTCCAGTGATCCAGATGTGCTGTGTTAACATCTGGAGCCAGCAGTGATGTTCCCCCTCATCAGGCTGAGGCAGAGCCGTGCAGGTCTGGGTGAGATCTCTGGAGGATGGGAAAGGGGCTGAGCAGCTGCAGGCAGAGTTCTGGAGGTTGCAGTGACCTCGTTAATCTGTGGTGCTGTTGCTCACATTCCCAAGGCTGAGGCTGTTTGTCAACAGAAGGACAGAGTGTTCTTGGGAGGAGAAACAGTAAATGACTGGGGCTTGCAGGGGAGAGAGAGGGAGGGATGTGGCAGAGCAGGGCTGTCCCTCGCTGGGTCCTGGGAACGTGCAGGGGAGGTAAAAACCAGCTGCCCCTGTGTTTGTGAGCTGGGGTTGTGCAGCACCAGTCCTGCCATGGGAAAGGGGGTTGGGAATCACATCTGGCTTAAACACTGGGTGCTTTTACAGACACATCTCAGGTGGGAAAAGTGCTGTCCCTGTCACGTGGAGATTTGGAGAGGGGATGGGTGTGCAGCACAGCCTGTGCAGAGGAGCCTGGCTCTCTTAGCTTTTATCTTGGCTTCAGCTTCTCTTACTCCGAAATCCTGTGGAGGATGAGAGGCCACCAATGGGTCTCTGAGCCCTTAAGAGAGGGGAGAGGCATTTAATGCCTGCCAGAAATTTTGATACTCTCCTGTGCACCTATTAAATGATTAGGAAAGCATAATTATTTATCTTATTAATAGCAGCAATTTACAGCAAGAGGAACATCTGGTTCTGTAATAGGAAGCAGGTGAGGGAGTTGAGATTCAAGTTGACTTCTGAACCAGCCGTGCCTTTTGATGTCGACAAATCTCATGGTCAGGAGAGCTTTCCATTTTTTTTTTTTTCCCCCTTCAAGTTCTTTTCCCTGCTTAAGGTTATAAAAGAGCTGCATATTCCTAAGGATGCTAAAACCATGTGTTATAAAACACATTCATTTCATCAAGCAGGTAGAATAAAGGCTGAGAAACCCTGAGCAGGACCATCACTGGGATGTCCTTCCCAGGCTACATCTGCTGCTGGGTCTTGGGCATTGCCCTTCACGGGGGGCCTGGGGGTGGAAGGAGTGTCTGATGTTTTCTGCTGCTGTTTTGGCTCCTCTTGCTGAACACTTTGTGATTTTAATTAATATTCTGAGCGTATTTGGACGTCAGAGGACAAAGCTGGAGGCCAGGGGAGTGGGGCAGCGCTGCAGAAGTCTTGTGAAAGCAACGACCTTGTTGAGAAACGCAAACACAGAGAGCTTAGAGCAACAAACTGAAGGAAGCTGGAGAGTAGCTAAACCATGAAGTAAATAAACAGAGGCTGGGTTTGTTTCTGCAAACAACCAAAAACGTGTCCCTGAAAAAATGGTCTTGTCCTCTTTCACACACTTGGAGTTGAGACCTGAGCTGGCTTTGCCTTTGGGAGAGAAGTGAGGGGCCTCGCTGTGGCCCTGGGGGTCAATTTGTAGGGGTGAAGGCAACCAGGACAAGAAGCAGTGCTGGGAGATGTCCTGGGGTGCAAACCCCCAGCCCTGTTCCCAGGATAGCCCTGATGTCCCCCTCCTGTGCCCAGGGGATCAGGAGCACTGAGCTGAGCCCTTCCTTGTCCCAGCCTGGAGGCAGCACCTGCAGGGCTGGCCCTGGGTGGGTAAATCTCTGGTTCATGTTGCAGCATTGTCCTCTTCACTTCCCCAGTGCCAGCTCTGCCCTTTGGGTGCTGGCACCAGCCAGGACATCCTGCCAGCCAGGAAGGAAGCACAGGGACAGGGGTCACTCACCCCCAGGGCTGCAGGCACCGGCAGAAGGAAGGGAGCAGCCCAGGCCAGCCCTGGTGCCCCTCCAAAGTGAAAACTCACTCTGGGCTGCTTTTCTTTTGCTTTCAGCAGCACGTCAGCCTCAGCCATCATCTCTGCTGGCAGCAACAGTGTCAGGAGACACCAAGCAACACCTCTCCTGGCAGCTGGGTGTAGGTGGGGAGGGATGCAGGTGTTCCAGGAGGCGTTGGCATGTGGATGCTTTGAGAGCGCTGTGAGCTGGCTCCTGGCACGGTCTCTGTGCTGTTTGCAGTACACAAATACCTCTGCCCTGCTGTGCCCAGCAGCTCTGAGGGCAGGGAAGGACTTGGCCTGACTTCCCCCACCCCTCTGCTCATCTTCTGCACGAGGCTGCTCCGTGGGTTTGATGCTCAGGGGGCTCCGTGCTGAGTGCTCTCCCCCCTGCATGAGGCAGATGTGCTTCAGGTTGTGTTCTGCAGCTGAGCCCAGGTGGGCATGAAATCCCATCCTCCCTCTGCAGGGCTTTGATTGTGGGGCTTTGCGTCCTCGATGCAGTTCTGAGTTTGCCTCTTCACAGGAATCTTTGAACCCTTGGATCAATCCGACAGGGGTAGAAGGAACCTGCTTTCATGTTTTCCAGCCTGCTTGTTTTTGTTGGTTTGCTTGCTTTAAATACCTTTGAAGTGCCTAAGAGGTGTTTAGGGATGAAACAGGCGGGATTGACCATGCCTGTGCTGACGCAGGCAGGGAGGGGGTGGTGCTGTACCCCCTGCCTGGGGCTGGGATGCTGCCCAGGATGTTCCTTTCTCCGTGGTTTGCTCAACCCTCCTGCGGAAAACTGACTGTCAGCCGAGAGATGTGGCTGGCTGAGACCAGCATCTTGCTGACAGTGGGACAGCCCTGCTCCCTCAGGCTGTGATTTCACTGTCTAGGAAGCATTTGGCTTCCTCTGGGCAGACGAGTGCAGGGTCACATCCCTAACGGCTCCAGCATGGAACCTGCCCCGTCCCTACCAGTCACACTGAGTAAGTGTAGCAGTTCAAATTGCTTAATATTAAATATCCTCAGCTCCATTCGATGTTTTTTATTTCTTTTTCTCCCCCCAGCAGCTGATGGGCTGCAGCTCAGCCTTTTTTCATTGTGAAAATGAAAGCCCCAGGCTGTGCTGGTTAATTGGAGCTGCTTGCGCAGGGGTTTGATGGATGAGGGTGTTGACAACCTGAAGGCAAGGTGGTCTGGTTGCTTTGTGGTGCTCTGATAGCTGGAGCAAACGTTCCCATGTGCCTGCAGGAAGGTGTCCAAAAGACCTGTGTCTGTGGTGGGAATGCTGCTTCCATGGAGTGAAAATGTAGGGCTTCTGAAGGATGCCTCTTCATTATCTTCATAATGAGTTTTTTTTCTAAATCTGAGTAACCTCTGCTGTTACAGCTGTTAAATCATTCCAACAGTGCTAATGGGGGGGAAGAACCTCTGAGTCATTTGGATTTAAACTGAGTAATTTAGCACTCACTT